ATTCGAGAATCTCACAAGCATCTTAATCAAAGGCTGGACAAGCTTGGGAGAGAGAGAGATAAACAAATAGACAGAATAATAAAGGTGTTACTTTTTAAAAGATTTAACCAAATATAAATGCAAATTCTTTTAATTCACTTGCCATTACTCTTCAATTTTATGTCGAGGTTTATCCTCTAGAAAGACTCAAATCAATTTCTAGATCATAGCTCGTGAATCAAGTATCAATTATCACTACATCTACTGAGGAGCTGACGAGCTCTGACGGTGACCTGCAACCGGGCAAGTGCGTGCATGCATTACGAGGCTATTCGTGCTTGTTTTCTCACGTAGGCTCCACGAATCACAGCTTGCACCTTAACAAGACTTTTGAGCTCGAAATGCTTTCCTTGCCTGTCAACATTCATATACCAAACGATAAATAAAGAGAGCTCACGAGTCATATATGTAAAATTATTATATTAGTCACTAGGAACTTAGGAATCTCTCCTATACACAACATGCATGGGTTGCGCACATTGAAAAGTGCAGATCATTCCACATGGAGTAGGGCCCACTCTATCTATGACTACCAAACTACATGTGAAGTGACCTCCACTCTTCTTGTGCCAGACATAGATTAGGTTCCTAATTCCTGAAATAGATACATGAAAAGAAATGTTGATGGGTGAAGGGTGAAATACAAGATGAGCTCTAAAAAAGGCTTGGATCTTCATGGCTGCAATGTCATCTTCGGATAGGAGCTTTGTCTTCGAGGGAGAAGATAAAGCAGCTTCTGGTTTTGTGATTTCGCTATTGACTGCTGCTTCTGTGGCGGTTGGTTCGTCCGTGAAGCTGTTGCTTGTCGTGTTGGCGAGGAGAACAATGACAGTTTCATGATGAGGAGGAGGTGGAGATCGGAAAAGCTTTCTTCGAATAACTTGAATAAGGCCAAACCAATTCTGTGACTTTCCCATTTCTTCGTATTGTTGCTTCAGACCTTGCTTTAGAATTCATAAGAACTTGGAGAAGTTCCCTTAAAGGTTGGAGTTGTGGGCACCATGTTAGCATATATATATATATATATGTATATCTATAGTATATTAATAAATGTGCAAAGTATTTCAGTATTTCAGTATTTATTTATTTATAAAAAAAATATTTATTAATTGATATAAAAATAGTTTTTGTAAAAATAGTTTCTATAAAATTTTAAAAATTACCTAATAAAATCAATCACATTCTATATAAAACTCTTATTTTAGGTATTTTTTATGGATAATTATAGTTTTTATAAAACTCTAAAAATTACTTAATAAAATCAACCACATTCTATATAAAACTCTTATTTTTAGTTATTTCTTATAGATAATTATCACAATATAACTGGTCCGGCCCAATTATAATTATATCATTATCAGAAAAGGACACATGTCATCATTATATTCATCCAAGAAGCCTATAAATAGAGGCATGGAGGAAGGATGAAGGTACAGAAATTGAGAATTTTACAAATCCAAAATTCCAAAGAAAAATACAGAAGCTCTGCCAAAGAGTTTCAGTATTTATTTATTTATATTGAATTGAATTTCAGAGTAATTTCAGTATTTATTTATATAAAAAATATTTATTAATTGAGTTGAATTTCAGAGTAATTTCAGTATTTATTTATATAAAAAATATTTATTAATTGAGTTGAATTTCAGAGTAAAATACAAAAGCTCTGTTAAGAGTTTTCAGTATTTATTTATTTATATAAAAAAATATTTATTAATTGATATAGATAATTATCACAATATAATTGGCCCGGCCCAATTATGATTATGTCATTTCCAGAAAAGGACACATGTCATCATCCTATTCATCCATTTCAGTATTTATTTATTTATATAAAAAATATTTATTAATTGAGTTGAATTTCAGAGTAAAATACAAAAGCTCTGTTAAGAGTTTTCAGTATTAATTTATTTATATAAAAAAATATTTATTAATTGATATAAAATGAGTTTTTATCTATATTATTATTAGATGTATAAAGAGTTTCATTATTTATTTATATAAAAAAAATATTTATTAAATGATATGAAAAGAGTTTTTACTAAAAAATAAAAAATAAAAAATTCTATAAAACAATAAAATCTACATAATAAAATTTAAATTAATCTATTTATCTATTTAGTATTATCCATTTTTAATAAAAGAAAATCTAATTAGACAAGATTTATTAATATAAAAAATATTTATTAATTGATATATAAAATAAAATAATTTTTATAAAACTCTACCACAAATTAGCTTTTATTATGAGTATCTGAATAAAATTAAAACTAATTAGACAAGTATATATTTAAAGAAAATAAAATAATTTAAATAAAACTCTATTACAAATTACCAATTTTATTATCAATAAAACTCTATCAACAAAGATATATTTAAAGAGTTGTGGGCACCATGTTAGCACACACACACATATATATATATATATATATATATATATATATATATATATATATATATTGAGAGAGAGAACGTGACAGAATGAATTTCTTTGAAGCATTCCAGCAACTGAATCCTGTGGGACCAAAAGTGTAAAATGACCACCATTAGACTACGTAAATATTGGCCACAGGCAACAATAGAATGGTGAATCATGAATATGTAATTATAAACATCTTTTAGACTATAGAATCAAATTATCTGTTATGTTGATGCCAAACAACAATCGTTGGGTTGTTGGGTGGTTATATTTGGTAGTATTGAATGTTTTATAATTATAATCGGAAAATTTTTTGTTTAAATTTTAAATTAAATTTGTTTTAATTTTAAATTCATGTCTTATAATTATATTATAATCGGAAAAAATTTTATTTAAATTTTAAATTAAATTTGTTATAATTTTTATTTAATTAAATTTTAATTAAATAGGTTTATGCTTGAAATAAAGTTTAGAAATTAAAATTGTAGAGCGTTACCCAAGAAGGGAGCCCTTTCAAAAATTCTCAATGGCTGAGCGGAACCCAAGCCAAAGAGATCAATAAAAAGGGAAATAGTTTTCAACCAGCAATTGACGCGCCTCGGTTAAAACCTCACAAGCTGCGTCATTGCCCCAAGCGCAATGATATGATTTTTTTATGTTGTGTATGTAGTGTTTTTATAATTACACTCAGTCTCATCAATTTCTTACCTTTTTCGATGTGGGACTTATGTCACATAACTTTACAAATAGACTTTTATGCAGTTCAAAATCATATACAATTACATTAACATGTGAAAATTGCCTCGGTCAATCAAATTAGAATCCCAATCAAACATTGATCTGTTTTAAATATATTGGTCCTAGGAGGAAACTTTTCCTGCTCCGAAGGCTACTTTTAATTTGTAATTCATCCAAATGGGCCGAGCTGACCCGAAAGGGCAAACGCACCTTATGTTTTAAGAGTACTTTTAAAGTGAAATTACATATTTGCAATTATAAATAGAAAAATTAAATCTTAGAAATATATATATATATATATTTTTTTTAATTAGTACTCACCCACATGTTCCTAACTTCCTTTTAAAGTAAGAGACTGATACCGCTAGATCACTCGCCCATTAAAAAATATTATAAATATGTTCATCATTTAAGTTAAGAAAAAAAAAAGTGTGTATTTGGTTAAAAATGTATTTAATTAACAACTCTTAATTTTTTATAATTTCAATTTTACGATCCTAATTTAGATTAATTAAGAGGCTGTGGTATCACCTTTCAATTCAATGACTAAGAATTCAAGTTATTGGTACTTTATAGATTGATAAAATATATATCTATATATATATACACATATACACAGGACACTAGTGAATTGATATTCATGCATCCAACTCATAAATAAAAGAATCAAATATTACAATGTAATTCTTTTTCTCTCTTTCTTTTTTCCCAATCTAGTGGATAAATTTTCTTTTGTCTCAACATTCTCCTTAGCTTCGTTTGACAAGTAGACTCAGCATGGTCAAACCAAATCTCAATCAAATGATCCGTTAACTAATAATTCAAGTCAAACGGTCCCCAATATTACTTTATGGTCTTAAGCCTTAATGTATTTGCCGGCAATAACAACAAATCAAATATAAGAAAGAAAATAACAAAAATATTTTGCGAGATTTACATGAATATATCAATTGATTATGGAGTCTTATGGAGTCTTCTGTAATATTTGTTCAATTTAGTTTTTGAGTTAAGTAGCATTACTCGTTTTGTTATCAACCACGATGATCGTATTAGCATTGGGTCTCAAGTGTAATTTCCTTCTGACTTTTAATACTTTGTAAATATATTCTAAAATATTTTTTTTCTCCCCAAATAAATATATTCTAAAATCATCAAGACGTGTTTAGACTAGTTTATTTAAACAAGGTAATTAAAATACCCAAATGTGCTATATATATATTATAAAACCCAAATCATCAAGTTTTAAACTTAAATAATATCTCTTTTTATTATTATTATTATTGAGAGTATTCAAGGGTGGTTTATTGAGTTGAACTTTGTCGTTAGGAAACAAAGGAATAAATCCAAATATATCTTAGAGAAATAAAAAAATAATAATAATAAAAAAAAACCATACAACACAGCCAGAGAAGGCGACTTAGAGGTATGACTCGTGCTCAATTTGATATATGAAATGTTAAACTCTCAATGATTTATTATTTTGTTTTTTTGGCGTTTTGAAATTATTAATCGATACAATTTGTAATGAAAAGTACATTGTTAGGAAATAAACCGACCTCCAACCCTAATTACTCTACCCAAACCTAATCTATTTATTTTTGAATTTTTAAACTCGAGTTTGACACTAAAATTTTTGAGTTAAAAAGTTGAGTTAATTGGAATTGCTTATATCACCAAATCTCCACAAGAAAAATTTAACATGATTTTGAGTTAGTTTCAAGTTACATTACTTGTAAGCATACTAAAAAAATAAAAAGTCAAAGCAAAATTTTAAAAAATTACAAACAAATTGTTAACAGACAATAAATAAAGATCTAAACAAATAAAGTTAAAAAGTAATCATAATTTGAATATATATAAAATATTAAAAATGCAAAGAATAAAATTAATTAGAAATTGGAAACAGGTTGTTGGTATCTCTGCCAAACTTCAACTCTAATTAAGTTGTCCTATAAAGAATCCTACTCCCATCTTTTCTTTGATTATGAGTTCTCTAAATCAATTTGGAGATTCATTCGATCAGCTAAAATGCCGGTTTTGCCCATTAGCTGAAACGACCTAATTGTTTGGTCTCTCTCGCCACTGGAAGGCTTATGACTTGTCATGAAAGAACTCTGTGGCTAGTATTACTTGTGAATCAATTATCACTACATCTGCTGAGGAGTTGGCGTGCTCTGACGGTGACCTGCAATTGGGCAAGCGCATGCATGCAATGTAAGGCCATTCGAGCTTGTTTTCTCACGTAGGCTCCGCGAACCACCGCTTGCACCTTCACAAGACTCTTCAGCGCTCGAAATGCTTTCCTTGCCTGTCAAACATTCACACCAAACACAGAATGTATAAATTAAGAGAGTTCATGAGTTATGTAAACCATTAACTGCAATCAAACAAAATTTCATAGTGGTCTGATTTTGAAAACGAAAAATTATTACTCCGTATTAAAAAGCTGAACCCTTTTAGCATGAAAGAAATATGTGAAGATATATATATATATATGTTGATGGGTGAATGGTGAAATACAAGATGGGCCCTAAAAGAGGCTTGGATCTTCATGGCTGCAATGTCTTCTTCAGATAGTAACTCTTTCTTCGGGGTCGGGCTACTGGAGGGAGAAGAAAAAGCAGCTTCTGATTTTGTTACGTCGCGATTGACTGCATCTTCTGTGGCAGTTGCATCCTCTGTGAAGCTCGTGGTGGTGGTGTTATTGGCGTGGAGAAGAATGACAGTTTCATGATGAGAATACCTGAAAAGCTTTCTTCGAATGACGCCGAACCAATTCTGAGACTTTCCCATTTCTTCCTATTGTTGCTTCAGAGCTAGCTTTAGATTCAATGTATACTACTACTTCATTCATAAGAGCTTGGAAAACATCCCTTCAAAGTTAGAGTTGTGGGCACCATGTTAGCACATATATACATACATACATATATATATATATATAGAGAGAGAGAGAGAGAGAGAAAATGTGGCCGGATGAATATCTTTCAAGCATTGCAACCACTAGACCCTGGGACCAAAAGTGTAAAATGACCACCACTCAGACTACCTAAGTATTGGTCCCGGTCAACAATAGAATGGTTGATATATACATGATTGGTTCTTGGTGAGGATACTAATACATTACTTTTAGAAATATCTTAAATTATCATATAACGTTTTTTTAATAATTATAAAATCATTAGGTCATAATAGGGGCGGCAAATTACGGCACGACCTGTCCGTTTATTTAACCGTGTCGAGTTAGGATTGAGGGCCGGGGTTTAACCCGTGTAACATAAATCTTGTTTGTGCCTTGTGATTTTTCTTACCCGTTTAATAAACGTGACTCACAAATACGAATTGCCACCCTTAGGTCATAATAATAATATCACTAATGTACTTGAATAAATTCAAAATCCTATTTTGTTCACAGAAGTTCCTAGGTTGTGGGTGTAAAACTAAAATTTGGAACTCAGAATTGTAGGGCTTTACCCAAGAAGGGAATCCTTCCAAAAATTCTCAATGGCCGGGCAGAACCCAAGCCAAAGAGATCAATAAAAAGGGAAATAGTTTTTAACCAGCAATTGACGCGCCTCGGTTAAAACCTCACAAGCTGCGTCATTGCCCCAAGCGCAATGATGTATTTTTTAATGTTGTGTATGTATTGTTTTTATAGTTAAAATTTTCGCATCCGCTTCATACACTTTTACGATGTGGGAATTATGTCACATAATATCAAACAAGTATAATACAATTCTCTCCCTGCTTAGATTACCGGTCAATCAAATTAGAATCCTAGCATAAATAAAATTGCTTCATCTAATCAATCCCCAATTTCATCTACACTATTGATTTGTTTCAAAACTTTTCCTGTCCGGACTCCGGAGTGCTACTTTTGAGGCGTAATACATCCAAATGGGCCAAGTTGACCCCAAAGGCTACTTATTTTTACTACTCTGCATAACAATGTTGGTTGGGCTAGAACCACCTAATTAAAGAACCAACCCACCACCATGTGACCTCCATTTATATCGAATGTCCATTGTCAATACATGGCCCAGGTCCATTATTCTCCAAATAATTAAGCGTTTTGTTTTAATCGAAATAAAATAAATATTTTGTTATAATATATTTTGAATAATAATTGAAAGGTACTTTCATATTTCAAAAGATAAGGTTGTTTTTCTGATCTTTGAAAGCTCGGCTTTGAACCTTCGCACTTCTCCCCACTAACCACCACTAACTGGTAATCACTAACTCTTAACACTTTTTTTATGAAAAAAAATAATAATAAAAATTGATCAAGTATTAGGAGTATGTTTGTCATAAAAAATAAAAAATAAAAAAAAAACAAAAAAAAACCCACCTAGTGTGTTTGATTTAAAATGTCATACATTTACCATCTCTCAATTTTTTATAATTTTAATTTTAAGACGCTAATTCAGCATTCTCAATATGGGTTTAATGTAAATTTATAATGTCATTTGTTTAATTAAGAGGTTGTGATGGGTCGTTGAATCCAATACAAATGGTACATGCTAGATTGATAAATATAGTCGAACCTGTGATATTTATTCAACCTAGTGTTTTTGAGGTAGGTAGCATTGCTCATTTTTGTCATGATCGTACTAATATTGAGTCTGAAATATGATTTCCTTACAACTTTTAATACTTTGTAAATATATTCTGAAATCATCAAGATATGTTTGGACTAGTTAATTTAGACCAAGTTAATTATAATACCCAAATGAGCTAACATGTGTGTGTGTATATATAATACCCGAATTATCAAGTTTTTAACTTAAACAATATATATTTTATTATTATTATTTTTTATTTATGTGTATTTTTTTAAGTTGAGACTTAAGAGTGAAACCACCATGAATGGGCACGTGTGCTAATTGAATGACATATCTAAGAACTATAATTAAATTGATGAAAACATTAAACACATTCTTTAAATTCTGAATATGATGTTTTTATAAGGAAAAAGCAATACTGTGAGGGTTATTTTCTAAGCAATAATATTTTATAATTACCAAGGTCTTGTGCCAAGTGATTTTTTTGGGGTTATTTTCAAGGAAGAAGTGTGTGGTGTGTGTAAATTTTTTTTCAGGAAAAAAATTACTCCTCTTTAAAATTAGTGTCATCTTTAATAATGGTGACTCACATTCTTATAAGTTACGGTTACAAAGACCACATTAAATCCGTTTCAAAATTAGTGTTATGACACTCCTATATATATATATATATATATATATATATATATATATATATTGTTTTAGTAATGATTTTCTGAAATGATTTGATGAGTTGTTATAATAACAATCCAAAAAATAAAAGAAAAAAAACATGGGAGTTCAGTTGTTCGATGCTCAAAGAAAATGAGAAATTGAGTGTTTCAAGCTTTTTTTATGATTCCCAATACCATTCTGAAACGGGTTTTTGAAATTTTGGAGTGAGAGACGAAGATGATCCACAGATCTTGTTCTCAATGTTTGCGATTGTAAATGGTATAGAGGAGATGAACATGAAGACTAGACCATGAATCAAAGACAGTACTCGAAAGGTAAACATAGGCACTGCTTTTTTTATCTTTTATTTCCTGCATTCCAATTATTCAATCGATATAAAGCTGCAGGAAAAAAAAAAAAAAATTTGTGTGGTCTTTGATACTGTGATTTACTTATTGATGTTCTTAATTTTGTAGTTGTTGTGTAAAGTGTTTTGCCTGAAAAACTTCAATTAATGCAGAGTCATAAAATATGGTGGTGGACCACATCTATAACCATTGAGAAGTGAGAACTTGTCTCCTTTCACAACAAATTAAAATCCCTTCTTTTTTATTTTTGGTTTTGTGTTTGTTTTTAGATCTTGTTAAATAACTCTGCCCATCAACTGTTTGATTAAATGTCTCAGCTAAACTGTTGTTTCTAAGTATGTCAGCCAAACACCCATAAATGGGAGGGGCATTTTTATGTTGAATTAAACGTAAGCCTTAACAAAAAGGGTGTAATTGAATTATGGGTGTCACAAACTTGATATGAAATGATAAGTTTTAAATTCTCAAACTTTTTTTTATATCTGATAACTAGTTCATGAATTACACACCTAGAATCATTTACGTGATGCTCTTATTTCCTTGTACGCAATCCGTGACGCTGTAATTTATCAAAGGGATGGCCAAAATCTCTACATACATTAATATATTTGTGTATGAGAAAATGCTTTTGGTACATTTTGATTCTTTTGATAAAGATGGTACCATTTGAGATCATTTCTTTTTTTCTCCTTTAGGTGTTAATGTGTGTGGTGGAACTCTGGTTGTCAATCCATCCTATTGTGGCCTACTGCAATGTGTAAATATTGTTCTCTTTTTCGATTTTTTGTGATACTAATAATACTGACCACCCCTTCTTCTATCTTCAATATATAATTTTGCTGCTGTGTTATATTTTTTCCACTATTAATGTCATTAGTCCTTGTGCCCATTAGAGAAGTTGGAAATCAAAAAATGGGACATAAAAAGCAAAGATTCAGAGAGGGGGGAGCTGACTAGGGTAAAATTTGTTTATTTTCCAATTAAACTCCTTATGCCATTCTTATTTGCCTCAAATATATATATATATATATATATATATATATATATATATATATATATATAATATATAGCTGCACGGAACCTAACTCCCCTCCCTGCAAAATTCAGACCCTTAGCAGGGCTCGGAACTTCCCTATTGCTTATCGGGTGGGATAGACCGGAGATACATGTTGAAATCTTAATGTATGTTGTTGTGGTTTCAGTTCACCATATATTGAATAGTTCAGCATCATGAAGTAAATTGGATTTGTTTTATAGCTTAGTTAGTGAATATCCCAATGTTCCTAACAAGCAAAGCTGTTTTACACATATGTATGGTTAAGAATGAGAGTGGGCATTGGTGCAAGGTTGCTCATTACGACCTAGAAGTCTTGGACGTGGAGATATGATTGCTTCAAACCCGTAGCAAGGGAGCCTTGTCCATTGGGTTAGCCCTATACGCATAATTAAGAATAGACATGCACAGACCTATTCAAGGTCCAGTGGGGGCAATTGTTCCCACTTATTTTTTTTGGTTGCTATTATATACCTACAATTTTTTTTGCTTTGAATTATGTACCTATAAAATTTTAAAATTGTCCCCACTAAAATTATAAATAAACCTTACTATTGCCCCCACCTCAAGGTTTGAATTTTTGTTTTTTTAATCTTGTTATTGTTAAAGGCCGCCTCCTCGCACATAATTATTTAGGTCCATCCCTGAGAATAAATATATATTTTTAAGAAGGATACTTCTCAACATGTAGAAAATAATAATAATAATAATAATAAAAACTAAAACTAATCAAATATAAGAAAGAAAATAACAATTACATTATGCGAGATTTACATGAATGTATCAATTATTTAATCATTTTAGTTGATGTTAGCATTTGGAATATGAAAGTATTTAAGGTTCAGTTAAGAATACTAGGCTTCTCTCCATCATGGCATGGAAGGGGGAAGTTGGTGTGGAAGCTTTGTTTTGTTCAATGGTGTTTGTTATGGAGAATCTTGTCGAAATAACAAGAAAAAGTACTACTTTTAAATCTGAAAAATAATATAATCATTGGATTTAAGTTTTAGACTCTCTTTGGTTAAAGCACCAAATACATATTTCCTTTCATGTCATTATAAATACATAATTATAATTCCTAACTTTCTTTGTGTCTTATTTACTGGTTTACACGTGATATTTTACAAGCTGTGTTTTGGTATGGGCTGCTTGTCCATTTTAGAATCTATCCTATAATCTATGCACTTCCTATCAGCCAAGTTCTTGATCCTTGCCACTATCAATCTATTCAGAAGCCTGTCCTTATGGATTGGAATTCTAGTAAAGTTAAGTCAGCCCAG